GCAAGAGAGTTAACTGACTATAAAGTCCAGTTTCCACCCTTGCCGAACAAGGCTGGAATTCCTGGGCTCTATCGCAGTGCCACCAGTGGCTATTACCAGTTATGTCCCTTCTAAGGCTCTCCTATTGACCAATCAGATTCACCTCTCGTATCACTTGCATTTGCTTCAAACAAAACACTGGCTCCCATTCAGGACGATCGATTCAAGGTCTATATTGTGATAAAATGGGTTTATATTGCGAAATGCATCAAATCACGTGAGCACCTTGATTAAAAACATGAAAAGATTTCATAAATATCTGTTGACAACGAGTTGACGGTGCACATGCTTTGCAAATCTTGCAATCGACCAAAATCTGCAGGATAGTTTACGAACTTGATTTCGATTTCGTTGCGCTATTTTGATTGAACTATGCATAGACTTGTTAGTCCAGCCAAAATGTAACTCCATAATACCAGCCTAGTTCGGCAAGGGTGGAAACTCCATAATACCAGCCTAGTTCGGCAAGGGTGGAAACTCCATAATACCAGCCTAGTTCGGCAAGGGTGGAAACTCCATAATACCAGCCTAGTTCGGCAAGGGTGGAAACTCCATAATACCAGCCTAGTTCGGCAAGGGTGGAAACTGGAATCTTCAAAGTCAGTTAACTCTCTTGCCTCGGGAAAATGAGTCAATTCACCAAGAGGCTTACATCAGAAGAGGAATGTGGACCTTAACAGGATTAACAGCATTTCAATAATAGCATGGTGTGATAGCTGGATGTGGGAGGAAAGTCCAAAGTGATGTAGGTCTCAGATGTTTACCACTTTAGTGAACCCACACATAAGATGGTGATGACAAACCAAGTAAAAACTGGGGCGAACCAAGATTCGAACACATAATCATAGGATTCTGTCATGCCTAAGGGACACAATTTACCCTGCACAGCACATTCTGAAGACAGGTCCACCTGTGCCCACTGGTCAAATAAAAAGGTTATCTCCAAGATGTAACATAAACATGGATGAATGTGTCGAACTCTGTGAATAGTTTAATCACAATTTGGAGGTGGACAGTAAAACCCAGTAAACTTGCACCATTCCTAAGTGATATTATACAGATGTCCTGTTTAACGAATATTTAACATAGAGACTTATAACAATTATCCTCCGTAAGTGAGTGTGTGAGTGAGTGAGTTGAGTTTAATGTCGTTTTTAACAGTATTCCAGTTATATCATGGCTTGTCAGCTTAATGTGGGAGGAAAGCCCGAAATGATGCAGGTCTCCCACGTTTACCACTTCGATGAAACCCACTAGCATGGGTATGGTGCTGACAAACCTAGAAACATAATCGGGGCGAACTGGGATTTGAACCCAACAATCATAGGTTTCTGGCGTGCCCAAGGGACGCAACTCTGCACAGTGAATAGTGCCGCCTTAGATGACTGCCAGCCGTGCCCCCCATAACAAAGAGTTTCTGGACTAAAAGTGTCAATGAAGGAAACGTAAGTCCGGGTTCCAGGTTTACTGATGGAAATACTAAAGTAAATATTTGGCCAGAATGATTGTCTTGTTTCATGGATATACATAAAATCAAGATGGGAAAGCCAATTACATAATTCATTAAAGTATTTATATCGTCTTGTGTAAAACATATAATCTAATAAAATATAAAAATGCTGAGTAAGATGATCAATTAGGATTTGATGAGATCTAATACTTTGTAGGAGACATCAGTTTGTAATAGTACCATCAACAAACTGATTGTGGCAAGAGTTACGATCAATATTCAAAAAAAGGCCACCTTGTGTTTGACCAGCAGCTAGACTTATCCATCTGTGCCTAGCTTATTTCAAAGGTTAATCACATGTGAACAAAACTAATAGCTTCATGATACAAATAGTCCCTTATTCAACATATTGATCACCCATCAAAAGTACTCTGCCCCTTACATTTTCAATACAAAATTTCAGTAACTCCTAAAAGGAATCTGACCCAAACCTAGTGGAAGAAAGTGAGAGCATTAATACTGTTGATATCAAGAGTTAGTTTTTACTGTTATAGCTGTGAGGAGCTTGGACAAATACATGTGCACATAGACTGTGATGTCAATGTTTGTTCATGCGTCTGTCAACATACAATCTCATTAAAATCAGATCTAAGTTCTCGTTGCCGCTAAACAAAGATCTGAGGACATCCTATTACGGGTCACGTCAGAACGACCTTTCGCGAACTTGACAGACCACTGAAATGACTAACAAGAAGTCGACATCAGCCAATTAGAAAGCAGCTTTCTCAAACTTTATGGCACTCGTTTCAACCTTGCGACTTCCATTTCAGACTACGCTTGAAAAATATGTTTTCAGTTCTGGATCAAAATTTTGAAAACTGAACTAATGAACATTCTGGAATGTCTAAAGGTGGTTGAGATTGTATGGCAGGGCATCCCACGTACTGTGCAACGCCTCCTCCGTTCAAATGTTTATCCCATTAAAGCGAGAGACAGACGATAATTTTGACTGAATCAGTCATTGGGGACGTAACTGTCATGATCTGGTAAGCAACGCTTTGATTGGTTGAATGAAAGGTCATTCTGACGTGACCCGTAATGTGATGTCCTCAGATCTTTGTTTAGCGAAAGCGAGGACTGAGTTCTGTTTTTAATGAGATTGATCAAAATATTGGTCATTATTAATTGAGCCTGAGAAAATGAAACAGGATAAAAAATATCCAAGCACAACGCTATCTGCACCTTCCATTAGCACAAAATAATATTGTCAACAAAACTCTTCAATAGCCAGACTTAGATTAATAACAACATGATGGACTGGATTTCCAATAAACAACATCATCAACCTATACTTTAGGTGAACTTGGTCCTGCTTCAAGGCCGTAGTTAACTTTTTTGACAGGGGGGGCAAATACTTGTACAAGTATCACTTGTCCCCAACTTGATTCAAATATAACTGTTTTCTATTAAAAAATCTAGGGGGGGCAACTGCCCCCCCTGCCCCCCCGGCTGGCTACGGCACTTAACTAGGCAATAAATATCAACATGGAAATATTGAACAGAAATGCAGATATCGAATGGTGATGATTGAGTGGTCCCTACACAGAGTGACACAACAGCGCAAGTACACGTCTCAAACTGGTCCCTAGGCAGAGTGACAACAGGGCAAGTACATGTCTCGAACTGGTCCGACTGAAACAGTGCTGCGTAGCATGTCGGGATAACATAAATTGTGTCAGTGTATTTCGAGAGCAACCCAGACTAGCACAGTAACAATAGATACCAGAAGTTTGGCTACTGTAAATCTATGATTAAAACTACAGGAGACATGTTGAATTGATTGTAAAATAAACTCTGTAACAATACCATACCAGGAGTATGGCTACCGTAAAATGGCCATAGAACATTATCCCACTTGCCAAAATCACTTGTGACACCATACTTCCATACTGTACTGCCACACTTTGATATACAGACCTGATACAGTTGTACAGCTGTGATCACTTTATGCCAAATTTGTAACTGACAAAATAACACAAGGTCAAGTAAAAAGGATGTGTGCCGAAAATACAATCTGTTTTTCTATTTCAGTTTTTTATCTAAGCTGCTGGTAAACAAAACATTAGTTTCAGTTTTGACTTCATGGTAAATGTTTCAGTTTGAATGTTTCACATATTTCTTCTAAGCTATACACATAAATATAACATTTTCAAATTTCTTGTATAGACACAAGGAAATCATTAAGTTTGCCAATATATAAGTCATAAGCTGTTGATATGAGGTGGGGTTCAACTCCACAATAAATCTCAATTTCAAACTGCTCTAAAAAACAATTTTAATATTTTTATGAATTAAATTAGGGATTATTCCAAAAGCTAAGCATGTTCCCTCAACAAATACAAAAAACAAATCTTCCAGTAAGAGGTAGGAATCTGTTGTGAGTGAAAGCAACATTTTAAAACAATTGGTCGGAAACAAATTTAAAGATTTGCAGATTTGGCTGCTGTATTCCCTTTGTTGCATTTGGGTTACCTCCCCTTTGCCAGCATGTATATATATATTGTTATATATATAGCTATCACAATATGAATACACACACATAAATAATTGCATAACAACCATATCTGTAAACAAGCAACACTCAGTCCTCCACACAATCACTGTGTAAAACAAACACTCAGTACAAAATTGCAACAATTTGTTGACAACAAAAAGGAAAAAGCTGTCCAAAATAAACAACTGTATAACAATAGATCACCCACCTTGCAAACCTATGAATTCATATCTTATAACCCAGAATCACCATTTATTGCATGTAAATATAATATGTTTAAAGAAAATACAATACATACTAGACCACACTTTTGCTTGACACTTGCTTAGAAAAGTTGGAATGGAGCAAGCAGCATTGTGACCGAGCAGATACAAAATGGAGTGAGTGAGTGAGTGAGTGAGTGAGTGATTGAAGTTCAACTCTGGTTTGAACAGTATTTCTGCATTACAGGATTTCAGCTTCATGGGGGGGAAACCTGCAAGTGAAGCAGGTCGTAGATGTTTACAATCTCACTAAACCAGATCTTTTACCGACATGATACCCAACACCCCATAGGAAGGCTTGTCAGGTGAACTATCTAATCAGCAAATCAGCGTCTAGGCTTCTAAATTGTAATACGACTGAGCAAAGCATTTACACCAGCATATCTGATTTCTGTCTCTAGAAAACCTGTCTATGGGACTTCCGATTGTTATAAAAATAAGGCAATGCTTCTATATCGTGGTGGACGTGTTATACATCTTGTCATTTCTGAACGACAGGCATATACACCAAAATGGGAAGATTTGTGTCCTGAAATCATTTTAGAACATTCAGATTCAAGAACTCACACAGAGCCGTTTGTTTGTTTGTTTGTTTGTTTGTTTAATGCCTCACTCAGCAATATTCCAGCTATTTGACGGAAGACTGTAAATAATCAAGTCTGGACCAGACAATCCAGTGATTGACATCATCTTTCCACGCAATTGGGATACGATGACATGTATCAACCAAGTCAGCGAGCCTGACCACCCGATCCCATCAGTGGTGTCTTACGGCAAGCATAGTCACCTCTCAGGGCAAGCATGGGTTGCTTAAGACCTATCCTGACCCGGATGTTCACATGTCACACAGAGAGCGGTATCATATCAGAGTAAAAGATCTGATCTGAATAGATTGTACCACTTTGGTGCTGACAACCAGTCACATGAGGAATCTGGGATTTGAACCAACGATAAGCGGATACTTGTATGACTAAGGGATGCAACTCTGTACAGCATATTTTAGCACCTTAGACCACTGGGCTACCAGGCCCCCTAAAAAATGAAATACACTGATAACAGGGTGAATATAGAGAATAAATAGGATTGTAAATCTTAGTCAGCAAATGAACTATGTGTATATATATCACAGGATTCACAGACAGCTGAGAAAGAGACAGTATTGAAGGATCTTATCAGCAGATTCCATGAGTTATCTCCCTTATATCATGTAATAGTTTTCTGACATCATATCTGATGGTCATGATAATTCAATTTTGCTGCTTAGAAAAATCAAAGTATCAAGCAAAAGTCATCTCCAGAACACGAAAATACAATCCTCTGAGTTGTAAAAGTGATGGCCTCTAACATGTGCCTCAACTAAATCTTTCTAAAACTACATCCATACCTAGATTCAGAAATGAACCTAATATATCATGAAAATATATCTAGCTCACACTGACCAAACTCATCACATATATACTCTATCTCCCACTACTGTCATATTTATCTAAATTATCATCTGGGGTCTGTATAATCTATATCTTCCCTCTAGTAGTTGTGAAGAAAGTAGTTTCAGTCAGTCACCCATATCTTATTGAATAGGGCCATGAAGTTGTCGTAGATCATGAAGGTGATGGCGACATCCAGGCACACTCGACTTAACCGAGGAACTGTGCCCTTGTAAAATCTGAGGAGAACAAAAGACACGTTGTAAAAGAAAAACTGAGTAAAAGAGAATCATGTTGACTGGAGAAAAGTGAGTGAGTATTGTTTTATGCCGCTCTAGCAATTTTCCAGCAATATCACGGCGGGGGGTCATCAGAAATGGGCTTCACTCATTGTATCCATGTGGGGAATCAAACCCAGGTGTGAGGCGTGACAAGCGAATGCTTTACCCACTAGACTACCCCACCGCCCCAAATGTAGAAAAGATGATTAAAACAATGAAGGTTTCAACAAGACACAAATATTACATTGTATACACACACAAATTTAGAATGAAAGCAAATAATTTACATTTGAACAGCTGGGGACACAATATGTCTGAGAAATAAAAACTTATTATTGTTGATGTTATGTTACATATAACTGACATTTCTATTCTAGTTCGGAACCATGGTTGTCCGTAAACGATAGCCTGGTCCACACACCAACTGTATGAGTGAGTGAGGGGTTTAACCCCGCTTTTAACAGTATTCCAGTTATATCACGGCGTGTCAGCATAATGCGGGAGGAAAGCCTGAAATGATGCAGTTCGTTTACCACTTCAGTGAAACCCACGAGCACGGTATGGTGCTGACAAACCTAAAAAAAACCTTCGAACCCACAATCATAGGTTTCTGGCGTGCCCAAGGGATGCAACTCTGCAAAGCAAATCGCGGCGCCTTAGACGACTGGGCCACCCGTGCCCCCCCAACTGTATGAGGTGCCAGTGATCTATTCTGAACCAGAATCTACACAGGCCTTGGAAAAAGACAAGATAACTGTTCACATTATCCAAATATTTCTACTCACGCTCTTGGACCCTCGTGTTTAAATATCTGTGTGGCGCAGTGGAGGGTGTTTTTGTACTTGGCCGCATCCAGACCCTGTTGTTTTGTAGGCAGAAAGTTCAATTTACTTACAAATAAAAAGCACCAAAATAACGAATATTAGATGAACATTTTTTAATCTTTCTGAAAAGACAACAATAGACTCTTTTTTTTAAAATTTCTTTTGCAGAAAAAACATGTTATACAAATCAATTATTTTCCCTCTCGTGAGCTGATCATTAAATCACCACCAAATTAATTGGAAGTTCTTGGGCATTCTTGTTTTAATCTCATCTATTTTATGATGACCTCCATCAATCAACACACCTGCATTCTTGTTTTGATCACATCTATTTTATGATGACCTCCATCAATCACACACCTGCATTCTTGTTTTAATCACATCTATTTTATGATGACCTCCATCAATCAACACACCTGCATTCTTGTTTTAATCACATCTATTTTATGATGACCTCCAACCATAAACGCACGGGCATTCTTGTTTTAATCACATCTATTTTATGATGACCTCCATCAATCAACACACCTGCATTCTTGTTTTGATCACATCTATTTTATGATGACCTTCAACCATAAACGCACCTGCATTCTTGTTTTAATGACATCTATTTTATCTTGACCTCCATCAATCACACACCTGCATTCATGTTTCAATCACATCTATTTTATGATGACCTCTGACCAACAACCCACCTGCATTCTTGTTTTAATGACATCTATGGGCGTGTTCCCGAACACAGACGCTGCCCCAGCGATGGCGCCAAACAGTCCGACCAGTAACGTGGGGACATGCTTCTTCTTGTCCTCCCCCCGGTACATGTCCTTCATGGTCTCCATGACGAAGAAGCGGATGGCCTGGTTGCTCCCCTGTTTGATGATGGTGGGCGTCAAGCCCTGATATGTGCCACGGATACCTGAAGTGTCAACATGTCTGCTCAACGACTACTGCATAGTTAAGTTCAAATAGTGCTGATTGAGTTACAGTAACTACTCAAGGAGATTGATGCCAAGTTAGCTGCAATGGGTGAGAGACAAAACAGGTGTCCCATCTTAAGTCAATTTGGGGAGAAACTAAAGACATGAATATGTGTCAGATCCAAATTCCCAATTCCTATGGCAACAAGAGTCTCCAGGCGTTGTTGTCATTTCAGATCTGTTCTAAGGTTTTACAAACTTATGAAAACATAAATTAATATTCCAGTTTTTAACTGAAATATGTCTGTTCATTATATTTTTTCAACTCTTATTACTTAAGATCATTGATGCTGTGGTTGTTGTTTAATGCCAGCTATATGATCTGTCAATAATTGAGTCAAGATCAGACAATCCAGTGACTGACATCATGAGCATCGATCCACGCAATCGGGATACGATGACATGCATCAACCAAGTCAGCGAGCCTGACCACCCGATCCCATATTTCTTATCATCCTGGACAATGTCCATTATTCCTACTTGCCTCATGTCTCTCGGCATAGTGACCCCAAAAATGTGTAATGTTCCACATTATCAAAATGATAAATTAATACTTCAAAATGTTTGGCAGGTCTATTCATCAAAACAGAACTATAAACTCGTCTGTCCTTTTCAATAACTGAGTCGTGGTTTCATAAACTCATTAATCACATGACTATATAAGAAACACTTTGTGTAACCAATTTATTTTCAGTTTTTACGCTGGCACACATGCTTCCAATGAAACACAATCCTGAAGCAAGTTCCATGCTTGTCACATACCTTGGTCCTTGATAATACACCTGACGCCATGGACGAAACCACGATATTGAGGCTTGTGAGAAGTTTGGTCGTTGATGAATTTAACTTTGAGAGTTTCCATTGGCGTCACCGCCAGTATAGCTTCGCATACTCCCGCGCCTGAAACAAGATAAACAGGACTGTCTGGGCAAAACGTTCATATATTGCCTTACTTTAACTTGTATTGCAAGACTCCCGCGCCTGAAACAAGATAAACAGGACTGTCTGGGCAAAACGTTCATATATTGCCTTACTTTAACCTGTATTGCAATACTCCCGCGCCTGAAACAAGATAAACAGGACTGTCTGGGCCAAACGTTCATATATTGCCTTACTTTAACCTGTATTGCAATACTCCCGCGCCAGAAACAAGATAAACAGTACTGTCTGGGCAAAACGTTCATATATTGCCTTACTTTAACCTGTATTGCAATATGCATTGCAATAAATTGCCAATTTACATTTTCATCAGTTAATCAGAGTTCTACCCTGTATTAATGTCAGATACCATCAGTCAGTGTCCCTCACTATTTTTCCTTTTCAGTGAATACCGTATTCGACGTAATAAGTACCCAGGGCACTCTCAAAATTAGAAATAGGGGACTCTTATTAGAATATAATTTTGGTGAGAAAAACAGAGTTGAAAGATTGCAAATATCCGACAGCCTGAAATGATATAAAAGAAAATTCTGTGCGTATTATACACGACAGATATATTTTCAAGAATTTCATTGCCCATAATTAAGGGTGCATATAACACAAAAGTGTGTATTATACACAAATGAATAAGTCTTGTGTACATTGATCAATCAGAAGGGGTGCTAATTGGGGTTGTTCACAAGCCAATATACTACCAAATATCGCTGTGGGTGCTTATTAGATCAAGGTGCTTATTATGTCGAATATATTAAATGTATGATAAAGAGATTAAAGAATAAAAACAAAACAAGAGGAGCTTGATAGTTGCGATGTGTACACGCTAATTGATATAAAGATTGTCAGAGGCAAGTTGAATCAGAAAGATATTCTTTTCCATCTCCATATCGATTAGGAACACATAAATATACTTATTTATATTTGCCCCAATATATTGCTACATTTACAAACATATTGCAATATGTATTGCTGAAGGTTTGCACAACAATATACTGGTGTATATAGCAGTAATACCGCACACCCTCAGTTGTCACTACCCCTAGTGTACAGTACATCAGGGTATGAAACTCCCAAAAATTTCAGCCAGACCACAGGACTGGCTAGCTGAAATACTTGCCACCCCTGACCAAAACCTGCCTGCCCACTATAATCATATGTTTCTCAGGATAAGCTAACGGGGTTTCCTTTTGGTTACATTTTATCATTCATCTTTACATGTGAATTAATGCTTATCATCGGGAAATATTTTGAATATTTTCACATATGAAATATACATACACCCTGTGTACTCAAAACAACCCAATGGCAGAAGAGCAGATGGTGGAAACACAAATATGTTCATACACCCAAAATCTTTCTTCTCCATAATCAAACAACAGCGGTATAAAGTCAGTTGGATTGTTTTAATGTAGCTTCGCAATTTTTTTCAGTTACATCACGATGTGTCAGCTTTATCTGTGAGGTGGATGGTAAAAAAACACTCTAGTTTGGTTGGGTTGTATACTCCTCAGGGAGTTCAGAATAGGAACTAGAACGCAAACAGATCCACTGGTCGGAGAACAAATAAAACCGCATTTGAGCAGACACTAGTACCTAGATACCTGTGGTATATTAAAGCATAATATAAATATATAAATATATAAATATATTATTTCAGCTATATCAAAGCTTTCTGCACACAAGACTTCTTGGCCGCCATATAGCTGGAATATTGCTGAGTGCGGCATTAAACAACAAACAAAACAAAAGTTCTTATAACATGAGTAGCCAGCCACAGTGATGGGGTACGATGATAAACCATGCATCAGGTCACACATTTTAACCAACCAATTCTCATTTTAGCTGGATGTTACACATTGTATTTCTGCCCCCAAATCTCCACAGGGGAAGTATGCAAACAAGCCAAATACTCAAGTCCTTGTTAACTTAAACACTGAGTTCCAGCTTTAAGAGAGTGAGTGTGTGAGTTGGGTTTAACGCCGCTTTTAACAGTATTCCAGTTATATCACGGCGCGTCAGCTTAATGTGGGAGGAAAGCCCCAAGTGATGCAGGTCTCAGATGTTTACCACTTCGGTGAAACCCACGAGCACGGGTATGGTGCTGACAAACCTAGAAACATAATCGGGGCAAACCGGAATTCGAACCCACAATCATAGGTTTCTGGCGTGCCCAAGGGACGCAACTCTGCAGAGCAAATCGCGGCGCCTTAGACGACTGGGCCACCCGTGCCCCCTCCAGCTTTAAGAGAATCAATGATATGTACACTAACTTTTCATGAAGAGTATATTCATCCTTTTCACACACTTACTTGTGGAGAGATTGTCAATGCTTAACACTGATATCGATTCACAATAACACACCTTTGTCTATATTTAAGTCCTAGTAAGCTAACAACCAAGGAAAGGGTGGTGTTATATAATTGTAGCTTGGGTCTCTGTCTTTTCAAGCCAGAAGACACAGAGTGATTAGTTCCCAGGTCAGACTGGTATTGAATGGATGGGCCAAGTCAGCGGTGTTTAAACCACAAACATTTCTCATCAATTGGATTCTGATGGACTTATGTGCAGAGACATGGGACAACATTCTAGCAAAAAGTATGACTTTCTAATTGCATTCACTGACACTGATATTGGACTAACGTTATGGTTGTGAGACTGCCAGAAATAAATTCTTCTTAAACTGTTGTGTGACCTATCTTTGTTATAGATGGAGGCTGTGTAATGGATCCACTCTTAACAATAGAATATTAAATTTTGGTACATTCAGTTCTGGTTTGTTTGTTGTTTAACGCCGCACTCAGCAATACTCCCGCTATATGACGGCGGTTTGTAAGTAATTGAGTCTGAACCAGACAATCCAGTGATTGACAACATGAGCATCGATCCACTCAATTGGGATCAATGACATGCATCAACCAAGTCACTGAGCCTGACCACCCGATACCGTTAGTCGCCTCTTACGACAAGCATAGTTTTGTCCACACCTGTCACAAATATTGCAGGGCTATTGACCGGGGGGGGGGGGGGGGGGATGTGATTACAAGGCCATGTCCCTGGCAACATCTGTCGAACAGGCCTGTAACTAATACAAACAAAGCTCACTTGACCCCAACCATGTTCACAGCTGACAGATCTTATTTCTCAAATACACTACAACAACATTTACATTGTCCAAAAATAGGTCAGGCTAAATTCATTGACAGCCTCAAGACGGTATGACTGGTAAATAACTATTTTCATTTTTACTTAAATAACATAAGTCATATAACACATAATTTCTATTGTTAGTTTATTCTTAAGCATATTAAGAGAAATTAGTTTCTGTCAGTACAAATAAGGCTGGAATGGTGACAGTAAGGTGAGGAAGTTTGTTTCTTTTTAGGCCAAAAATGTCAACGTCTTACAAAATGTTGACGAAACAGTCACATACCCCTCACGAACTGACAGATATATGCTGTTTATAACAAACCGATAATCTCTGAGCTGTTCACGTGCAATCAATGAGTCTATCAAAACATACAAGTCTGTTTAAAACGGCAACAAATAATTCATATGCATATGATATATTCCATTATGAATATGATGAATAAGTGCATGACATGTGACATGTGATATTCAATTTCACAGGTGGGTTAAACAATCTTTTCTACTTGTTTGCATTCATGGAATAGTAATAGAATGTTGACAGATGTCAAACATGTGCAGCACAGGGCTATTTGAGTCAACCAGACAACATGTGGGGCTAGGACTAGAATGAGCATGCCTCCGTGGAGAGGATATTTATTAGTATTATTTTAATAATTATTATTTTTAAAACAATATTCATACTTACCCAAGCCACAGAGCAGCCTGTGCTGGGGTAGTAACACCCCCCTCTCGTCTGCTAAACGTTTCTTAAATTCTTCAAAAGTACCAAATCTGAAACAAAGATTTAACAGTCATCATAGATATACTCATCCCACACCCGAAAGCACATAAATTATCCATAATTTGTCTCTACTTTGTGAGAAGGTTGAAGAATATATCATGTTTGTTTGTTTGCTTGTTGTTCAACGCCGCACTCAGTATTATTCCAGCTAAATGACAGCGGTCTGTAAATAATCGAGTCTGGACAAGACAATCCAGTGATTGACATCATGACCATCGATCCATGGAATTCGGATCGATGACATGCATCAACCAAGTCGGCAAGCCTGACCACCCGATCCCGTTAGTCGCCTCTTACAAGCAATGTCACCTTTTATGGCAAGCATGGGTTGCTGAAGATCTATTCTACCCCGGATCTTCACGTGTCACAATATATCATGCACAGATGGAATATGTGCATGTGAGAATGTTACACAATATATCATGCACAGATGGAATATTTGCATGTGTTATACAACTAAACATGTACTGATACAATCTTATACAATGTATCCAGACCGATGTATACATGTGTGAACCTGCCCTCTGTACTGATTTCGCTATCTCCAGTGGAGGGCCAGGGAAGTCTCCATCTGCTGGGAGAGAGCACCTGCCAGGTACATTTAGTGATATGGACTGGGAACCTCCTGACACCACCACCTGGGCTTCCACACAGCAGACAAAGTCGCTGCAAGTTATCTTTAAGATGGCATTTGGCTTTATTTGTTTGTTGTTTAACGCGGCACTTTGCACTTTCCAGCTACATCACTGCGGTCAGTAAATAATCGATTGATGCGTGCGTAGATCACAATTATGTGGATCGATGTTCATGATGTTAATCACTGGATTGTCTGGTCCAGACTTGATTATTTACAGACCGCGGTCAAATTGCTGGAATATTGCTGAGTGCGGCGTTAAACAACAAACAAACAAACTTGGCGAACTGGACTCACTACTCAAACCGCCCAATCAAAATGGCTGTGTGTAAATAATTGAGTCTGGACAAGGCAATCAGTGATTAACATCATGAGCATCAACCCATGTACTTGGGACACGATGACATGCATCAACCTAGTCAGCAAGCCTACCCACCCGATCCCGTTAGTTAGACAAGCATGGGTTGCTGAAGACCTATTCTAACCCGGATCTTCAGAGGTCTACCAGCATTCTAAGTGTTTAAGAATATATGTACTGCAACACATTTGATTACATTTTAATTTCCCCTCATCACTGGCTTATGTTCGCATTTCTTTCTAACACTGCACGCCTTCCTTCTGATATTTATATGTTTGAGTAAGGATGTTTGAGGCTTCAGTACACTTCGGTGTATTTATGATCAGATCATTTTATACATAAACTATATATAGTTTTTGCCAGGGCTATGGTAAAACAATTCCCAATCAGACAGTGAGTGAGGGAGTGAGGGAGGGAGTGAGTGTGGTTTTACACCGCTTTTTACCCCAGCAATATCAGAGCGGGGGACACCAGAAATGAGCTTCACACGTTGTACGAATGTGAGGAATCGAACTGAGGTCTTCTGCATGATGAACGAACGCCCTGATCACCTGGCTGCCCCGCCGCCTCCATACTTGAAGTAACCACCCACTGTCAGCTCACATGGCCCCCATGTGAACAATGTCATCACCATCATACACACTCAATACGTCAATACGTCCACTCGTTATGGGAAGGGTTTTCTGTCAATACCAGGAGAACATTACCCAGACCAATGTGGGTGGAGATCGCTGTATACACCTTGTCCATGGCATCAATTAAACGCTTGCTTCAGTTGATAACATACGCTTGCATCTTATTGGATTATATATGTTTGCAAAATGTCTTCCCAATCAAGCAGCCTCCAGACTCCCACATAAGACACTGATGCCAAGTGCAACAGACACATTAGAAATAGGTTCTTGAAATTAATTTTGACTTTTACAAAGGCTCCAATATCTCCTCTGTGGTGTGTGAATTGCAAAGAGTGATCGATAATGTTCCCTGTTTGCAAATAGGTTCCACTGGTACCCATCAACCTAAAAAATAAATGGCCCATCCTGAAAATAATAGGCATTAATTCTAACTCTATCAATAAAACTGATATCAATAACTTTCTGTCCAAAGCCACACAAGTCAACACTCAATTCTGTCCCCAACTCATCGCTATTGTATAATTTGAAACAAAATGTCTCCATTCCTTCTCAACATTGTCATTACATCGAAACCGCATAATAAAATCATCTCATAGTTCTATTCCTTAACATGAATACACGTATCGATAAAAATCTATGCTATTTTCAGCTTCATCTGTCAAAGCCCGAGACAGTGTCATTGTGTAATTTCATTTAACTTTTGTAGGCTTCAAATTAAAGAAATCTTGAGCCTACATTCAGACAGATCTCCTGAGAAGGAAAGCAATGTACTCCTCACTGACATCAGAATAACCAAGATCGATACTGCACGCCCGTTATACACAACGCCCTACTGGTTTTCAAATGACTTCAGAAAAAAATGTCTTAGAGGATATCTATATTCTCAAATGACAATAACTCCTCTATACGAGAGCATATTTCTATTGAATGGCGGGTTGGGTCAGGAGACTGATATGGCTGGCTGACCACAGAGGTCGTCACATCCTCCAATATCCAGTGTGCTGTCTCCATTCTATTTACAAATAAATGATGGTGGGAGTTGTTTATCATATAATAAAACACTGCAGGGAGAATAAACCATGCAGTGTGCAGCCCTGAGTGGTTTATACTTTCTGCACTGTTTTATTGTACTATAAACAACGACCACGAGTCATTTATTCTTATATGAGACATCAACATTTTGTAAGCCTGTCATATCTCTCCCACTTTTGAATACGATTGTTCTGCCATCATGTTCATCTGCGCGGCCGAGCTTCATCTATGGAGAACGACTCACAAACACTTCCCTCTCAAAAGTAACGTCGACCAATTTACGTCATCAAGTTGCGAGCGCATGTCCAAATCTCCAGAAATGACGTCATGATAGATCAATGTTTTATCAGAGACCATATAATAGAATAAGCTGGGTTTAACATTGTTTTTAACAGTATTCTAGTCATATTCCAGTATTACGTGGGAGGAAAGCTTGAAGTGAGCGAGTGAGTGAGTGAGTTGTGTTTAAGGCCGCTTTTTTAACAGTATTCCAGTCATATTACGGCGTGTCAGCTGAATGTGGGAGGAAAGCCCGAAGTGATGCAGTTCTGAGACGTTTACCACTTCAGTGAAACCCACGAGCACGGGTATGGTGCTGACAAAACTAGAAATATAATCGGGGCGAACCAGGATTCGAACCCACAATCATAGGTTTCTGGTGTGCCCAAGGGATGCAACTCTGCACAGCGAATTAGACAACTGGGCCACCCGTGCCCCCGAAAGCCTAAAGTATCAATCATGAAGAAATGATATTTGATTGGATGTCTATTTTTAGCATTGTTGCATTTGAACCAGACTCAAAACAAGGACCTTTTGTAGAAAAGCCAAAATAACATGACAATTTCATTACTCTGTTGATATGGGTATAAAGTTTCCTGGTTAATACATGAAAAATATTATTGATATATGATCCAGAAATGAACACTACAACCCATCTGGTAATGAAAGTGACCTGTATTATGGTTACCGTATTCGACGTAATAAGCGCCCGCTCTAATAAGCGCCCACGGCAATATTTGCTAATATATTGGCTAGTGAACAATCCCAATTAGCACCCCTTCCGATTGATCAATGTACACAAGACTTATTCATTCGTGTATAATACGCACTCGTGTGTTATATGCACCCTTATAATTATGGGCAATTAAATTCTGGATAAATATATCTGTCATGTATAATACACACAGACTTTTATTTTGTACCATTTCAGGCTGTCAGCATAAACCACGAAATTTGCAATCTTTCAACTCAGGTTTTTTTTCTCCAAAATATTATTCTAATAAGAGCCCCCTATTTCAATTTTTGAGAGCGCCCTGGGCACTTATTACGTCGAATACAGTAAGTCCAAACTGTTGACAAGGAAACAGTAAAAGGCACAAGTTCAGCACATGTTGGATACATATGCAAAGTAATAAAATATTGAACAGTGTCCAATTTATGCTCCGAAAATGAAATGGGACAGACAAACGGACGGATGAACGGACAGAAGGGGGGATGGACAGCACTTATTCCTATGCCCCCCTCCCAATTCGTGGCAGAGGATAATAAAGTGCATCCTTGTTTCATACAATTTTGGTCAAAAATAATAATTGTGAAAAATATGTTACATTCATACTTGTTTGCAGGACTAATTAAATTCTTGTTGGTCTTTTATTAAAACATGTCAAAAGGAGTGTGTGAGTGAGTTGTGTTTAACGCCGCTTTTAACAGTATTCCAGTCATATCACGGCGTGTCAGCTTAATGTGGGAGGAAAGCCCCAAGTGATGCAGGTCTTAGACGTTAACCACTTCGGTGAAACCCACGAGCACGGGTATGGTGCTGACAAACCTAGAAACATAATCGGCACGAACTGGGATTCGAACCCACAATCATAGGTTTCTGGTGTGCCGAGGGGAAACAACTCTGCATAGCGAATTGCGGCGCCTTAGACGACTGGGCCACACGTGCCCCCCTGTCAAAAAGGATGGGAGGAAAAGTAAATGACTGTCTTGTTGTGGGTGTTCGTTTGAAGTTATTTTTCGAAAATGTACATAATAAATTACATAAAGATGATGAAAAAAGCTCATTTTCAATCAAAAACTTTGAATTTATTCAACAAAGTTCACCCTATTTTGTTTTTTACTTCAATTTAGGGTAAAATTGTGAAGAACCTAAATTTGCCTTGCTTTCAAAAAATTGAATATTGTGTAGGCATGTCTGTTTGTTGTTTAACTGCACTCAGTAATATTCCAGCTATATGTAGGTGGTCCCTAAAAAAACAATCTATAATACAAACCATTCACACAAACACCTCCATTCTGAAGAAAATGAATATTTTATCCATAGTAATCCATTTGCTTTGAATATCCAAGTACACCAGCAGGCCTGGTAGAATTATCTCCCCTTATTGCCCCACCAAAGGGAGACAACTCCCTCCACAAGGGAGACAACTGAACTAACCTGACAGCAGATTTTGGAATGGAACCATACAAGAGGACACTGAGTCCTCTATATAAGCCACGGACTCCATGTTCTTTCACTGTCACTTTCACACAATCTACTGGTCCCTTGTAACGTTTCACAGCACCAGTCCTTTCGTCCAGCTGAAGCTGGGTTTTCACATACTCTGTGGGGAATGTAATGCAGATCTCAAGTCCTCCAGTAATGCCACCTGCAATTGAAAATAGAATTTTGTCAATTTTCAGTAGCCATGGCAACAGTGAACTCACAGCATCACACAATCAGTAGTTTTATTACCAAAGTCATCGAAGAATGAGGGTGATTGAGTGAGTATGGTTTTACACTACTTTTAGCAATATTCCAGCTAAATCACGGCGGGGGACACCAGAAACAGGCTTCACACATTGTACCCACGTCGGGAATCGAACCCGGGGCTTCAGCGTGACGGGCGAACGCTTTAACCACTAGGCCCCATTGAAGAATGTGAATATGTACCCCGGGTATATAATCATTCAGGGATATAATTTTTACATCACTGAAAACTCAGCTAAACAAGTGATTCATGGCATTGCTGATAACCTCACGATAGTGTTTGTTAACCAATATAGCCACAGTTGAGAGACTGCTTGTGATAATTACTTTGTTCACCTGATATATATGCAGAAAACCTTAGCTCCAAAACTTCAGGAACAAATCATCCAAAAGACAGAATTAGATCAAATACTAAATTCCATTTTAACAAATGTTATATTTGGGACAACACTTCCTTAGTAAAGTACAATTTCTGGTACTTTGGGGGGTTGTGTCCCATCCAGGATCCGAACCCACACTCTCAGAGTGAGGCACCTACTTGCCAGCACCCAAAATCAGCGATCTAACCCACTAGAATGTGTACTTTACTAAGTTATCCCAAATATAACATTTGACCACTTTCTATATGGCATTGTGTATTCAAATTCCAATTTAGGCTATAATATAATAGTTACTATATTTTCATCCAACTGTCAGACACTGAGTGGATGGAAGCATTTTATTATATGTATATACATGTATATTTTCATTCTGTAGAATGCATAAAAATCAAACACTGTCACTTGATGTGCTTTGCATTTTCATAAGTCTTATCCCTAAAACAGACACGTTTTAGGAATGGCATTAGCACAGATGACGTACAGGTGCAGAATGATCAATTTCACAAGTCCAAATTTTGCTATAGCCACCAGCAATTGTTGATTGTCGTCAAGCCTGACCATATCCTAATAATTTCATCACATAAAAGAAACAAGCCAACTCATAAAATGATGTAAAGCAGGGTGTTTGGTAGTGAGACGAGAGTGTTTATTAGTGTTAGAGATTAACATCTCATAGTGGAGCTCTGCTCCATGGTCGGAAACCCTATTTTCAGTTTGTTTGTTTGTTTGTTGTTTAACGCCGCACTCAGCAATATTCCAGCTATATGACAGTGGTGTGTCATTCAAAGACAGTAGACATTTTGGCTGGGAGGAGTCCAAATTCACTCCCCGGGTACCCAGAACTTTCATTACACAACCATAGCTGGGTACTCACTGAAAGTCTCAACAGTTGGGACATAATGGGATGTCCTCAGATCTTTGTTTAGCGGCAACAAAAACTTATATCTGATTTTAATGAGATTGGAGTACATTTTTAAAACTGTGTAAGCTCTTGCTTTATGTGCTACATAGTAACTACGCCCCTGTTAGCAACATATAATGTAGCCATGGAGTTACATTGTTTCATGACAATAACAATATATTACGTGACTAACCACAGGTCCGGGTAGTCCTGTGGGTACCCAGGTACCCCAGTTACCTGTCCCAGCACACCCTATCACTTCCACATGGGGAGCATTATGTCTAACATCAAGCAACGTCAAGATGGTAGAATTGTGGTCAAAGTATAAGATATTAACCTCCAGTCAGTCGCCAAGGAAACTGTCCAAAATTCTTTATATACATTCATTGATCCTGAACATGTTTAAGCTCAGCCAATCATGCAAGGCCATATGGACTGGATATATGGACTTACCGTCTCCACCAACCTCACTGGTATCTGTCACGCAAGGTGTTTCACAACACAGCCATAAACGTTATTAAAGCAAAACCAATCTTGAAGCAGGAAAATTACTGACTTCTCTCCAAGTTAGGGGACAGTTCCAGGCAATACTGGCAGTATTGATTCTCAAAACATTTCTTGTACTCCAAAATAATGACGTCTCTGTTGATAGGTTTGCTGAGTTTGTATCAATGCATGTTTGTAGCTGGTTTGTTGTTTAATGCTGCACTCAGCAGTATTTCAGCGATATGATTGCAGTCTGTAAATAATCGAATCTGGACCACACAATCCAGTGACTGACATGATAATGGATTTACGCAATTGGGATACAATGACTTGCATCATCCAATGCAATGCACAGGGGTGTAAAGGAATGAGTTGGTAGGGTTAATGGTTGAGTGGTAGGGCAAGTGGTTGAGTGGTAGGGCAAGTGGATGAGTGGTAGGGCAAGTGGATGAGTGGTAGGCTTAATGGTTGAGTGGTAGGGCAAGTGGTTGAGTGGTAGGCTTAATGGTTGAGTGGTAGGGCAAGTGGTTGAGTGGTAGGCTTAATGGTTGAGTGGTAGAGCGAGTGGTAGGGTTAATGGATGAGTGGTAGGGTTAATGGATGAGTGGTAGGGTTAATGGTTGAGTGGTAGGGCAAGTGGATGAGTGGTAGGGCAAGTGGATGAGTGGTAGAGCAAGTGGATGAGTGGTAGGGCAAGTGGATGAGTGGTAGGCTTAATGGTTGAGTGGTAGAGCGAGTGGTAGGGTTAATGGTTGAGGGGTAGGGTTAATGGTTGAGTGGTAGGGTTAATGGTTGAGTGGTAGGGTTAATGGTTGAGTGGTAGGGTTAGTGGATGAGTGGTAGAGCAAGTGGATGAGTGGTAGGGTTAATGGATGAGTGGTAGGGCAAGTGGATGATTGGTAGGGTTAATGGTTGAGTGGTAGGGCAAGTGGTTGAGTGGTAGGCTTAATGGTTGAGTGGTAGAGCGAGTGATAGGGTTAATGGTTGAGTGGTAGGGTTAATGGTTGAGTGGTAGGGTTAATGGTTGAGTGGTTAGGTAAGTGGATGATTAGTAGGGTAAGTGGATGAGTGGTAGGATCACGTACAGATGGCATATCACGTGCTACATCAAGATTGTGGCACATATGTGCATCTGTATGGATCAAACAAATAACTCTTCTATTGATGTATTGTACCAGCACACAAGCATCTTCAACAATGTTGAAATTGAAATAAATCAATGACACACCCCTACATTGACAAACAAACAGACATGGCACGAATTGATTCAGTACATAACATGCCCTCAATTAAAAAAACTCCCCGGTTGATAATAACCAAACTAAACAATGATCAATGTTGCAGACAAAAAAACATGTGTCATGCTGCGATCATAATGTGCTACTTTCCCGCTCAGCATGCTGTAAATATTTCATTATTCATCACGACCATCGAAAAATATCTCTCCCTTGCCTATCAAACTTTCAGAGAATTACCACTCAGATGCCTGTGACCAGCAGTCTTAGATTCACACCATGTCAGGAAGATCATTGACTAAAATCACAAGAGATGGAAATAAGTGACTGGTCATTTATTATAGGGGATGTGGGTGAAGTGGTCTTAGGACTTTCACATTTTGTTGATCTCCCATGTTATTTCATTCCCCACTACAAATTTACAATGTTGTCAGTCGAGCAGTATAATATTCACACACTCCAAACTGGACAACCTCTTTTGGTAGACTGGCATTTAGTCCCAGAAATAAAGTATCTTATTTAAAAATATATGTCTACAAAATAAATAAAAAAGTCCAAATGGAGCACAGAAAAATCCTTAATTTGCTGAGGCAATCTAAACTTGCCAAATCATTCTAGACTTTAGTTGGACTCCTTCATTAATTTTTTGTCTAGGGTCTGGGAGACGGTCCCCCAAAAGAATAGTCGGTCTCAGTAACAGCATGATGATTCACACTTACTTTGCATGACTAAGTTTAAACAAGCTTCATATCTGAACATTTTCAATAATATATTTTGGACTCAATAATTTCGTAAATTTATGACAAAAAATATTTAAATACATAAAGATTAAACTAAATTTATTGAACCACAACTTTGATATGCTCCCTTCACAACCCTATTCATTTATAATCTGATCAAACACTTCTGACGTCCCCACACATTACATTGACAAGGATATCAATTTCCTTGACTGAAACAAAGGCTCATTACGTTCAGCACCCTGATTAGCAGACAAAATATCCTTTACACCCACAATGCTGAAGCAACACGGAGGGATGTTTGCAGCACTTCATCGCGAACAAGACTTGTGAATTATTGAGAGTTTTGCCACCACAAACCCCTTCGCCACAGCACTATATCCTGCAACTACAGGCACTATATTGATTACAGGGTCTCAGCTGGCATTGATTTTGACAAAGTGTAGCAAGAAACGTACCAATTTCTGCCAGATTTAGCAGAAAATAAAATTAGCCTTGGAGACTATTGGATCTTCAGTGACCATGACTGAGAGGGTGGGAAAAGTACTCCCGCGATTATGATTTGGAATATCGCAATGTCAATTGGAAGATCGCATCGTGATGAAGAAAGAGATCAGTTAGAACACAACTCTTTGGTCAGGATTATCAATTGTGCTGGCTGTAATTAAATGTCTGTCATTGGTTTATCCTCAATGTGAAGAATTCTGGCCAATAATGTTGGTTTAGGAGGGTGTTTTCTGGCTGTTAATTCACTGGCCTTTTAACAAGCCACAGTTCCTGTCAGAAAATCTTATCCTTGGTTTAATGTCACTGTGAGTTGCTAGGTTACAAGGACAATTCAAGTAACATATCCAAATGTTACATTACTTTCTTGTGTATAATGCACACTCCCTTTTTGGATTTTCATTTCCTTAAATAGTTATCTTACATTCAATGGCAAGTTACGCTTAGTAAATTCTGAACTGAGTGAGCGAGAGAACAAGTTTAGCCAAAATGTAGATGTAATTTTCTGATTGTACTGGACACGGTTCCTGACTACTAATTGTATTTACTGTGATGCGATGCATGTTTGAAATTGTGTGACCTTCTCGAACAATAACCAGACATGGCAAGCCCATTGAATTCAAACAGCGTGTTTTGGTGTCTGGCAATTTGAT